GTTTTCTAACCTCCCGTCCTCTCCATCCTCACAGGCACACTGGCATTTTGCCGAAGAGGAAAGAGACTTCCTGCTGGTACAGGAAGTGATCCGAGTGGCCCGTTCTTTACGAGCACAGTGTGGCGTAACCAAAGCAAAACCTGACAGTAAGTCAGCACATAACCATTACCACACCGACTCTTCCGCTGCAAACGCTTAAAGCAAATATAGCAACAAAGTTACAAAGTTTTGTTACTGTGCAAAAGTCTTGAGTCACCCGTGACTTCTTCACTTTTTCCAGGAAAACAGGAAATGGGTGCAGCGATTTTTTTCTTTTTAATATTGCACAAACTCTGACTTTATGCAGATACAGCACAGAAGTTTAAGGTTTGCAGATATTTTAAAAAATCGCTGCACCATTTCCCGTTTTCCCGTAGGACCAGCTTCTTCACAGCCTGAGCTCTCTGACACAGGCCTCTTTAAAAGTATCTTCAGGAGTAGTTCTCCAGGCTTCTTGGAGGACGTTCAGACTTTCTCCTTGGATATTTCTGCCTCTTGATGATCCCACACTGCTTTGGGATCTGAGGAGGCTGGACAGGCACTGCTCACCTCTACCTGATGTCCTCTGAACAATGATTTGAACCAACAGTTTCAGATTTAAATTTCTCTCCATCAGACACGTTTTGATCATCAGAGCACGTCCTGCATCATTTTCATGCCTTTGTTTTTTCTTCATTAAGAACGGCTTCTTGACAGCTGCACTTCCACTGAGACCATTCTGACAGCAGATGAACCAGTAAATAGCTGATTGTTCAGGTTTTGTTTCAGCTCTTTGCTAGTGCAGTATGTTTTCATACTAATTAACTTGCAGCTTTTTTGGAATCGTCTTGTTTGTCTAAAAATACTATTTAATGCTTGTCAAACTGATATCTTTGGTATTTTTCTTGGTATCAAAAATGGGACCAAACTGAATTTTTGACTCTTGTAACAAAGTCACTTAAAATTGGTTCTTTGCTAAGTTGCCTGTTATGTGTCGACACAACACTGGTTCTTCACTTTTCTCTCTTTTTTTAAATGTGTGAATTATTCAGAGGTCAGAGGTTAAACAAACATAAAACATGGTCAGGTTCGAGCACTGGAAGAATCTGTGTAACTAAGTAGCCAAACTCTGGAAGTCTTCTGAGAGCTCCCTGAGAGCCACACTCAGCTGTGACCTTTATGCTTTAAGAAAAGAATAAAAATGCTTTAATTAATTTAAATCTTGATGGTTTCAGTGTGGGCAGTGTGCTCGCCCAGCCAGGCCGAGGTCCTCCTTCGCTTCGGGTCAGCGATTAGGACGTTAAGCCGAATCTCCGACCTTCACATCTGCTGTTCTGACGGAGGCAGCATCCCCCCGTCTGCACGCTCCACTTCTCCACCCAAAACAAGCCTCGTTGGTGTGGTGGACCACACGTGTCGGCTACATCTTCACGTTCAGGTATGTATCGGGCTTCTTCTGCACGAAGCAGTGAGCTTCATTGTTAATGAATTAACTTTGTGTGTTGGACTGACAGTTTAGTCTGTCAGCATCGGGATCATCATCTGACACACTGAATGAAATGATTTACTCTGAGATATGAACCCAACCTGTAGTTTAATAAGGAAGGAGCAGTCAGGTTACGCTAAGAACTTGATTGGTTGATCATCACCGAGTGTGCTGTTGAGCCAAGGAGATAAACATCTTGTGTGAATAGGCACATGCTCAGTAGGGGGTCACCTACCCTCTTACACAGTACAGATTCTAATATGAATATCTGGGACTCGCCACCTTAGAGCTGAAGAAGCTTCTCAGACGACAGGTGAAACTTGGAGAAGTCCAGTCGTTTTCTCTCCGAGCTTCTTAGATCATCAGCAGAGCTTCCAGGTGAAACCCCTGAAGACCACGAGCTCCTCTGTGCACAGACGAGTCAGAGGTGAGGGCGTCTGTCCCACAGCCAAAACTGCAGTCATGCATCGGGACACAAACACAGTCGAGGTGCTGCAGTATCCCAGTCATGCTGTGGACCTGAACTCCATTGAAATGCTGTGGCAGGGCCTGATGAGAGTTGTGTATAAATGCATGTAATCAACGAATAGAAGCACACATTGTTCACGTCATGTTTGCACTGTGATGAGACTCCCTGCTCCTGTTGGGTGTTTGTGCAGTGGTGATGAGGATGCTGGTCTAACGTACGTGTTGTGTCTCTCAGAGTGGGATGAACATTGAGAAACAGATCGTGCAGCTCTCTCAGCGCAGAGACCGGCTCGTCCCGAAGCTGGATGAGATCCTCGCCAGAGTCCAGTCTCCAAGCTACCTCAGCAAGGTTCCTGCTCGTGTCCGGGAGCAGATGGACAGTAAGGTGAAGGAGACCTGCAGC